GGTCGTATCTCGAAAATTTCGTAAGTAGGGGCGTTCGTAAGTAGAGGTACCACTGTAGTTAAGATTTTGTCCATTATACTGAATACCTATGCCCATTTCTCTCTCTTTTTTTATGTGTGTGCATTTCGGTAATTGTACTATAGACCTCCTACAATACCCACATGAAATACCAAGGTTTTGTAAATGAAAGATACTACTGGTATAGAAATTCAAGCCTGTATCCTCACATCCAGAAGTATATACCCAAATACAAGAAATTACAATTCCAGGAAGGAAAACACTCAAATCTAGTATCTAGATTCAGCTATGCTATAAGTGGGAATGTATCCAGCTGCATACTACAACAAGAACAGCTCCCCATTTAGTTCATCCCTCAGGACGGAGGAGTTTACTATAAGCAGTAGTCAGTCATTTCTTCCAGAATAAAAAAATAGTGGAAAGGAACAAAATTATCAATACTGTCCTAACTGCTGTTTATTCCAATGGCACCACTTTGACACCCAGGGATGGTTTTCTCCTGATCAGTGTTTCTCAACCTTGGCAACTTGAAGATGTGTGGACTTCAACTCCCAGAATTCCCCAGCCAGCATGTAGTGTTGTGTTGTCAAGGTTGAGAAACGCTGTCCTAGATGCTGCATTCTTTACTGTCAGTATCCAGTCGTATCTGCTGCTGACCTAACAATCAACAAAAGGACCTGCCCAAGTCTCCATTTTGGGGAGGTTGACAGGGAAATATGCCTTCCTTGCCTGTGTCCCATTTGTCATTTGATGGACATTATAGTAATCATATTTATTTTATTGATCACAATTAGATATAAAATGTAGTAACACTGTGCAGGAGAAACTGCCGGTACACCTCTCCCAGAACAAGAGTAATCAAGGAGAAAAAAAACAGAAGCTGCTAGAATTTCGAAAAAATCTTTATTGTTCAGGATAAAAATTCAATCAGTTTTCACTGATTTGAATCTCAAGAACGGATGAGGATTATTTCAGGGTCACAGAAGTACATTTTAGGTTTATCATGCTTTGGGATGGATGTATATGGATTTTATTTATGCACATCTTCTACAGGACAAGACCATTTTGCCTGATTAGCAGACACCACTCTGAGCTCCAATGGGAAGAAGTATACTAGAACTAATACCATGCTGGGATAGCATACATGAAAATATAATACCCTTTATACTATTCCCTTTCAGGCTAAGCAATATTATAAGTGCAGAAAAGGAGTAAGAAATGGCAAGCCAAAGAAATTATAGACATAAGAAAGACAAAGAAAGAAAATCTAGCTAAGTCTAGTTTATACCAGCCCCTTTCACTATATCTTTCCAACCCTTTTTATCCTCGCAAACCATCTTCGCTTTCACTATTTCCATGTACTAATTCAAACCATGCAGCCATTATTTTCTAGATCTTGCTTTTCTTCTCAACATATTCATTCTTCAGTCATGCATTTATTTTGACATTCATTCCTCATTCATTCTCACTATATGACCAAACCACCTCAACTTACCTATTTCATATTCTTCACTCATTGTTGTACAGTATACAATCCACATTCATTTAACACCCATTCATTCATGACTCCATCTATTGAATTACCAACACTTCTTAAATACCCATTTCTACTGTGTTCAACTTATTTGTATGTTTTCCTGACATATTCGACCCTAATTTCTGTATAACAAGGGGGCAGAAGCACACTTCTGTGCATAGCCATTTTGGCTTCTTCTGAGAAACATAGACTCCTTAGAAGAAGCCACATACTACTCACCACCTTTCTCCCATCCATCTTCCTATCTTTAATAAGCATTCTACTAAGGGGAAAAAATCATCTACAGGCTCCAGTTTTTCATCACTATGTATAACTTGAAATTATTCATTCCATTTTCTCAACAAACACAACTACCTTGGTCTTTGAGATATTCATTTTCAGATCCATACTCCTCATACAATTTATCTAACAACCCCTACAAATCAATCTCAGCCAACAGCCTGGCATCATCTGTGTAAAAAAGTATACACAAATTCATATTCCCAACCAACACATCTCTAATGTTAATAAAAGTATTCCTTGTTTCTTATGTATTTATGTATCCATAAATACATTAAATCACCAAGGGGATATCACACATCCTTGTCTTATGCCCTGCTCACTGTTGAGTAATTTAGTAAGCATTCAATTTATTCACACACATGTTTTACTTCTATCCTGTACCACACTTACTGCATTTAGCAACTGATCTACAACTCCATATTCATGTTAAACATTCCATAATTTTAGCCTCACTTTATCAAATGTTTTCTCTAAATCAAACATACAATCGTTTTTTTTTCTTTTTCATACATGACTCGTATTTTCATTTCCTGAGTCATTCAATTTTTATTCTACTTTTTTTTCATGTATTTCCTTTTCCTGGCATTGCAATTACAGAAATTGCTGTATACTGTACTAGTGACTAATACAAACCATTATACTGCTCTATGTAAGTAAATACTCAAAAATGGACAAAGCCCCTATTATGACGGAAAAACTAATGACTCGACGTACAGACCACCAATATTGGCAATGTTTGCAAAAAAAAAAATTAAAAAAAATTAAAGACATACTTTTGAGCTCTGCAGGTTCTACATGCTCTTTTTTTTCAGAAACTTCTGTTACATTCAATGAGTTTGAAGCCTCTTCAGGCCTGGGAGGATTTTTGTTTTTTAGTTCTTCTATTGCTTCAAGTATCTTCTCACTGCTATCCAGTGTGGTAGGCAGAAAAATTGGAACTGGAACCTAGTGCAGGAATCATAAAATTATAAGTTTGCTACGTGCCACTGTCAAATAGAGTACAAAGCAGAACTGGATAAAGCCCTTGTAGCATTTAATAATGTTTAACAATATCAGTGTTATTGCATGTACCTCTGAGTTGGTGGGATGTGGGCCATGGTATTTTGATTTGAAAATTAGACCTCTGAATTAGAGATCCTAGTCTACTTACAATAGCATAAATATGCACGGGTTCAAACATTGCTTGTGCTTGCAGCACACTGGCCAGAATTTCAGCACTAACCAGTACTATCTAAATAAGTAGGGTATGCTACCTCTGGCATGGGTGCTTAGGCTGATAGCTTAGACTATACCTTCCCTGTATTTCTAAAAAACATAGTGAAAATACTGTGAAAGTCTCAATTAACAAAAGCCATGATTAACATTTCAGGTCAGTATCTATAGGCTGATTTGTTTATGATTTAGAATGAGAAGTAGAAGAGAAATAAAGATAATAAATTAACAAATGAAATGAATGAAAGATAAATAGATAAGTTGTGAGTCTATGAAACTAACAGAAAAGGGATAGCTATAATGCATACGAGTACAGATGGTCTGATCTGGTGGAGTGGTTGATGAGAAGTGCAGAGAAGTGAAGATATAGGGTTAATTATAAATTAAAGGGCCAACATGTTTATCAGAAAATATAAACTGATGTCATCTAGCTTGTTGTGGGGATAAGTGAAAATTGGCACCCATAGGTTGGTGATAGTGACATATTATGGTCCAATGCATGATGGTAAAAGAAGAACCAGATATGAATTTTTGGGGGAAACTGTACAATATTTCTAAATGAATGCAATCCAGGGGAAAATATTGTTTTGCTAGGTGACATGAATGCACAGAAAGGAATGAGATGAGAAAGTACAGAAAAAGTAAAGAGGCCATTTAGAGATCCAAGAATGAATTAAAATGATGACTGGTGAGTATCTGCTTAGAAAAAGGTCTGTTTTAAACCTATTGTTAAGGACAGGTGATATGGGAAAGGATTGACTATAAATCTAAAAGCATGACTGAAAAACCAAAAGACTGAGAGAATTAGTGAAGGATACAAGTGTAATGGGAAGTGAACAAAGGAATGTGAGAGAAACTAGAATGAAAGTAGAATAGTTGCAGGAAGAGAAAGTATGAGTTCTCTTTGAAAAGTCTTAGAAGATAATTTCCTAACAGAAAGAATAGAAATTACACAAAGGAAAGAGTCTGTGAAAGCTGCTTGGAACAGAGTGAAAAGAACTATGTTGTAGAACGCCACAGGAGTGACTGGGTTCTGTTATGGTAAGTATGAAAAGAATACTTAGTGGAATGACAAAGTGAAAGAAGTAGTAGATGAGAAAAGGTACATACAGTGCAAAAATTTTAAATGTATAAAGTGCATAGAGAGAGAATTAGTTGCAAAGAATGCAGTCAAAGGGCAAGAGATGATCAAAATTAAGAGGCGGAGAAGATGCAGAGTAATTTTGATAGAAATAAAAAGTTGCTTTGAAGTGAGTGAAGAGGCTGAAAAAAGGAGTCTTTAGCAGACTGTATGGAATTAAAATAAAAGCAATGACTGTCTGGGATGAAACTGAAGTAAGGGAATGGTGGAAGTAGTAATGTATAGGAACGATAGTAATTTGATGAAGAATGGAATTGAAACAATTGCTATAAATGTAAATTTTAGAGAGAAAATTATTGAAAAGGAAGCCATAAAGGGTGTAAGAATTTTGAAAATTGTTTAAGAATGCAAAAGTAGATGGTATAACTGAAGACATGTTAAATGTAGCTAAATATTAAAATACTGAATATATTTTTGAGAAAATAATTTGTTTTAACATGAAAATCTCACTTCTGGTGTACATTTGTCTCTTTTTTAAAAACCCATATTCTAATTTGGCATATTAACAGTAAGACATTTACAAGAGATAAAAGCTCCATGTTATAGCATAAGATTTTTTCTTTTTTTTTAGATTTTTAATTATTATTTTTATAAATAACTCAAGGCAGCAACCATACCTTTAATACCCCTTCCTCTGTCTATTTTCCCCTCAACAACAACCCTGTGAGGTGAGTTGGGCTAAGAGAGAGTGACTGGCCCAAAGTCACCCAGCTGGCTTTCGTGCCTAAGGCAGGACTAGAACTCACTGTCTCCTGCTTTCTAGCCTGGTGCCTTAATTGCTAGACCAAATTGGCTCTCATTTTTTCCCTCTTTAGATTTAAGTTTTTCCTCTTTAGAACATATAAAGCTGAAAGATGCTTAGAGTGAGACCTTAACTGGGTCTCTCCATCTTTTACAAGTCTTTTATCAGCAGCTTATTTAGAAGAAGCTGCTGCATCGAGTTTACAATTACTTGATAATAAACATCACCAGTTAAGATGACCTAGAGTGCAGATACCAAATTTTCTTACCAACCTTTAGCCAATCCCTGGTCATCATTTCACCCCTGGAATCCTGGGGTGAATCTTCATGAAGCTCTCTTGCTCTTGCCTGCTGTCTTATTATCTACCTTTTCACCAGATTTCCCTTCTGTGGCCTAACCCTTTCCCCATTTGTCTGCTCTGTTTTGGAAGTAGTCTGTTTTGGAAGTTAAGATGAATCATACTGAGATAGCACTGATTCCAGCATTCTGTAGTACTTTATCAAGCAAGGAAGCATGCAATGCTGGTATGGTGAATTCTGGTAGAACCTATCTTCAAGGGAGAGAAGAATATAATTCAAACATAGACTGAAACCTAGCTTACTGGAACAGGAACCGTTGTAGGAACTGGAACATTTTGACTATACATATGCATAGGAGCAGGTACATATACAGGTACTGGAACAGGCACAGGGACATATTCTTTTTTCCAGTCATCATCTACAATGAAAGACAATTTGTAGTGTTACTTGCCACCACTGCATATATGCCATAAAATGGCCCAACCATAATTGTATACCATGACAAAATGCCATATAAGAACAGTTGCTTCTATTAAATAAATACCTGTCTGACAAGATTTTGTTTGCATGTGGGGTTTACAGAATGTAGCTTTTGTCATTGTTAGTGGTTTGCAGAGAACTGCTTTGTTCTTCATTTCTTTGTTTGGTGTAGGGGAAGGAGGTAGGGCTGATCCCTGTAAATTAAAAAAAAAAGTAAATTTTTAAAAAATTAAATGATAAAATATAGTACATTTCATTCTTTTCATGGAGAATGATAGTTTGTGGTTCTAAACAAATTAGCTACTTAAAACTATTACAAAAGTGATCTATTACACAATTCATTCATTAACATAAATGTGTATTTTGTTACTATTTGCAAAGTTATATTTGTATGTTACCTTAACAATTACTTAACAGTTGAAGCCATATAAGATCAAGGCATAAATGTATGGTCTTTTCAATGTAACTTATATTAGTTTACAATATTGAAATTACCCATGAACAAATACAACCTGTCATGTCTTTTCATTTTTTTTTTAAATGTAAAGGGTCTGCATCCTAGCAGATAATGAGGAATTTGTGGGAAGTTTACTATACCCCTGTATGGGTTAAGACAAAAAACAGTACACAATTCTCCACAGGTTATGAGGAATGTTGTTGCCCCAGCTATTAATTTTGGATACATTATGATTTACTTACTGTGTTTTTTGTTCGGGGAGTTTGGCAACCTTGATCTATAAACAGAAGACAACAACCTTAACATAATTTGTTTATTTACATTAATCTGTAAATGATAAACATAACAATATTTTATCCTAGTAATGCTATTTAATTGTTCAGTTTTATAGATTACCCAGGAAAAGATTAACCAATAAGTTGTTTTCAAAACAATTAGCTTTCTAAATGCAGGAAAAGTGGTATGCTCACCTTCCTTTTGGGGGAAACACTGTTACGTTGGGTAGCTAGGGTGTTAACTATGCTGGTCAATTTCATTTGATGTGTGATAACCTAGTCCTCTAATAATTCTGTCTCCTACGCTGAAGTAAAATATGCCCTCTTATCTGATTTTAGAAATGAGAAGCTTCTATGGCCTGCCATTTTTTGAAATGTTAAAAAAAGTTTAACGTACTGAGTTGAGGAACATACCATAATGTAAGTTTTCTGGTCCTTTTTGTGTTGCCATATTCGGTTCGTTTTGTTGACAGTAGAAACGCAGAAGGCAATGCTGATCACAAAAGTGCTTCATTTCCCCTCTCCACTGTACTTTCTCTTTAAGAGTTCCTTGAATTTTACAGCAGTCACATCTTGCAGCCTTAAAAACAATAATGCTGTTAGCTAAAATGATTTGGGAAAAGAATTACTGCTACATATGTGCTTTAATGCAATATTGGGTTATGGAGTTTTCCAAGGTTGAGTAATGCCTTGTACTTGCTCAGAGGACAGAAAATCATGTGACTGAGGCTTCTGGTAGTATATCCTTACCTATGAAAATCCTCTCTAATTCTGTAGTATAGACAAACATAAGCAACAAAATAAGAACATAACAAATTCAAAAGAGAAATTGACCTCTGATACTCTTCTGAACAATATTAAAATGTACAAGAAAGGGTACTTTGTTTTCATTGGTTGACAAGGAAAGCATGAGTAATGCTTGTAGGAATAAAATCTATGTGATGTTATTGGGCTAAGAGATATCAGATGGATAAATTTCTTAAGGAACTGCATGGGTGAGAAGTAATGAGTCAAAGAGTATTGGTTCACCCACTCCTCAAGAGGCCAGGCCTGAATCCAACTAGACAACTACCCTTCTATCTCTAATCTTCCCTTTTTAGAGCAATTGGTGGGGCTGCGGATGCAGAGAGCTCTGGAGGATACAGATTGTTTGGACCCCTGGCAGTCTGGGTTCAGACCTGGGCATAGGAAGGAAACTGCATTGGGTGCTTTTATAGTTGAACTTTGGGAAGGTTTGATGGAGATGATGAGACCATCTTTGTCCTCCTATATCTGTTGGTGGCTTTAGGTAAGAGTATTCTTTTAGACCACTTGCAAGGGTTGTGATTTGGAGGCACAGTGATGCAGTGGTTCCGCTCCTTCCTAAGTGAGCAGGTCCAGGAGATGGTTATGCGGAGGGAGAAGTCAGACCTCTCAGCACTTTATTATGAAGTACTTCAGGGTTTAGTTGTCTCTCATATCCTGTTAAAATTCTAATGAAACCACTGGGAAAAGTCTTCTACCAGCTTGGGGTATCATCAATATGGTGATAATATCCAGTTATACATCACCACCCTGGCCCTGTTAGGAGATGTGGTGGAAGTTATCAGGGTTTGGATAAGGAAGAACAAGCCCACACCTAACCCAAACAAGATGGAATGGTTATTGATTCAGAGGCCAACTGATTCCAAGATTATATCATTTTTGATATAATGGGGTTGTGCTTCCCCAGTAAGAGCAGATTTGCAATGTGTGTGGTCCTCCTGGATTCATGTCTCCTGCTCAAAGAGCAAGTGGAGAGTGTGACCAGGAAGGTTTTTGCAATACTTGGAATAGGACACCCTGAAGACAGTCACTCATGTCCTTCTCATCTCTTAACTCAATTACTGTACCTCACTCTACACTGAGATACTCTGAGAAACCATCTAGCTGGTCCAGAAACAGTGGTGGTTTCCAAGTGCAATTCAAGGTGTTGGTCACTAGCTATAAAGCTCTATATGTGTAATGGTATGTGGGAATGACCTTGGGAGATGGGGGTGGGGGGTGGGGAGAGGAAGAGATGCTGACTAGGGAACAATCAGATGGGGAGACCCACAGCTGCATAATGAGCAAAGAAAGAAACTCAGAAAGGAACCTCCCTAACTTATCAGGTGGTAAAAAGAGACAATGCGAGATTTGAACTTTCAGACTTGGAAGATTCTGTTAATGTAGTTAACATTAATATAATTCTAAAATAGAATTAACTCATCTGGTCGTGTTTTCTGTCTGGTCTGTCTGGGAAGGCTGACAATATGGCTCTTGGTCTGGGTATCTTAGAGACTGCCTTCCCTAGTAGTTTCTTCTTGTCCTACTTGCACAAAGTATGAAGTGTCTGCTGAGGATACCTACCTACCAGGAGATACAATATGAGGGAGCATTCTCTGTGGCAGCCTCCCTCCTCTGAAGCAGCTTACCCTCCAAAGTGTGTATTACCCCCACCCTTTTGACCTTCCAGAAGATGGTGAAAACATGATTCTTCCGGAGGGCCTTTAGGGATTGCCATATCATGATGCTACTTCCACTTGATGGAATGACGGAGTGAAAGAGATGATAGATGAGAAAAAAAGGCAAATAAAAGAGTGATTTCTGTAGAAATTAGGATGATTGAATCATAGAATATATGACGGAAGAGTGAATAGAGTAAGAGGAATGGGAAGACCAAGAAAATTGTAGTTATATGAGTTGCTGAGATCCAAACAAAAGAGAGATGAGAAGTTTAAAGAATAAATACTGTGTATGAATTGGTGCATGGGTGTGGAAATGGAAAAGTATAGTAATGGTGCTGCTGTAAACACCATTCAGTATACAGGTGCAGCCAAAAGTATTGGTATCCCTCCACTTTTTTCCCCAAAAAAATCCCAGTTTGCTTTTAATGAATGACTTAACACATTCTTGTAAATAATAAAACAAATAAAAATGGCATGGACATAATTATTGGTACTCCTAACTTAATATTTCATAGCACACCCTTCCGAGGCAGAAACTGCAATCAAGTGCTTTTGGTAGTTCTGACTAAGATATCTATGCTCCTCAACTGGCAATTTGTCCCTTGAGCAAATTGCAACCAGTTACCTTGAGCAAATTGCAACCCCAACTTGAGCAAACTGCACCAGTTATCTTAGGTTTGATGGATTCCTTTTCCCAACTGTGAATTTCAGCTCTTTCCATAGATGTTCTATTGGATTCAAATCAGGACTCGTAGCAAGCCACTTCAGAACAGTCCAACGTTTGCTTTTCAACCATTCTTGGGTTCTCTTAAATGTACAGTACTCTGTGTTTTGGGTCATTATGCTGCTGGAGGATCTATGACCTGCAACTGAGACAGATTTTTCTAACACCGGGTATTACGTTTTGCTCCAGAATGCCTTGATAAATCTTCTGATTTCATTGTGTCCTGCTCAGATTCAAGGAACCCAGTGGCAGAGGCAGCAAAGCAATATTATGGACAATCCTCCATGTTTCACAATAGGAACAATAGTATTTTCTTTTTCTTCTATGAACATAGAGCTATTGTGACTTACCAAAAAGCTCTAATTTTGTTTCATCTGTCCAAAGGACATTCTCCCAGGACTGTGACTTATCAACATGCATTTTAGCTAACTCCAGTCTGGGTTTTTTTGTATCCATCTTTTAGAAGTGGGGTCTTCCTGGGTCTTCTACCATGGAGGCCACTTTCAGTCAGACAGTGATGGATGGTGCGACTTGATATTGTTGTACCTTGTTCTTGGAGGTCAGCCAAGATCTGTTTGGAAGTTTTCTTTGGTTCTTTCTCCACCATTCAAACTATCCTTCTGTTCAATCTGGGGTCAATTTTCCTCTTGCAGCCACACCCAGGGAGATTGGCTAAGGTTCCATAGATATTAAACTTCTTGATAATATTAGCAACCACAGTCACAGGTACATGAAGCTTTTTGGAGATGATTTTATAGCCTTTACAGTTACCATTCTTGACTATTACCTTCTCCTTTTCCTTCTCAGACAACTTTCTGCTTTTCTTTTTTTTGTCCACGTTCACTGTACTGCCAAAATGCCCAAGTACTTTTCTCCATTCAAATAAACTGAGTGACTGAAGACACTTGTGATACTAATTAAATAATCTGCTTGAGAAACCACTAAAATCCAATAATCTTTCTTAACTTGTAATTATGTCCATGCCATTTTCATTTGTTTTATTATTTACAAGAATATGTTAAGTCATACACCAAAAGCAAAGTGTCTGCTGTATGGACTATGGAATAAAGAATGGTGGATGTCATTTACTTGTGTCAGTTTCAACTTATTTCACAGCAAATTGGGATTCTTTGAGAAAAAGTAGAGGGGTAACAATACTTATGGCTGCATCTGTATTTCTCATATATTTAAATTTTTTGCTTACCATTATTTATTCCTCTCATATAATGTTACTTATTCTGAAAGGGAATAGCATGATGAGTATATATGTATGTATGTCTTATCTCTCTCTATGCTAAATTGTTCTCCAGTTTCTTTTGCTCCAAGAGGAGAGAGAGAGAGAGAGTCTCTGTATTGTTTTCTTCCCTCTACCAACTCAAATACTGATCTCCACTTGAATTGGAAGTGGATAAGCATAGTAAATATACAGTAATGATCAGAAAAAGACAGAGGTGCAATACAAGCTAGGAGACCATTATAGTCCCTTTTTAAAAAAGCAACATCTGGCATGGAGCAGATGGCATGGCAAGCACCAGGACAAATCACTGGATTAAAAAGAATGGAGCATAGAAATTATTTCATTGTTAATCTCGTCAGAGAAATGCAAAAGAGCAAAATTTGGCTCTTTAAATCTATCTTTATATTGGGATGCTTCTTAACATTTGAGTTCATTTAATAGTAGAAAGTGAAGAAAGGGAGAAGTTAGAGAACAATGTGGAGGACTATCTACCATTTTTAAAGGGAGTCACTGTCCTTTTTCCCAACAGCTAATCAATATAATTAATATTTGCCTTCAATCAATCAATTAATCACAGGAAAATGGCCACTTTAAGAATAAACATTTACATGAGGAGAAGAATTAGACAAGGAAATGTGTATAATGGTTTGGCAGAAGTAGCCATGAGAGGAGACTGAAGTGGCTACAGAAAGGTTGCCCCATTGCAGGTTTCTGCTGAGCTAGGTCTACTTCCATAGCAATAGACATACTGGGAAGGGTTTCAGTAGGAATTCCCATGGTGGCTTGGTCAAAAGGCACGTATCAGACATTTTCCTGTTGGTGCTATGAGAAGTATAAGAAGAAAATGGGGGCTAGGAAAACAAGAATATAAGTGGTTTTTGAAACAGAACTGCTATTAATAAAAGAATCGTAAGTAAAAGGGAAAAAAGGTAAAGAAATTCCTAAAATGATGACAGGAAAGAATTTGCATTTGCTTTGAGCAAAGACAATTAAAAAAAACAAAACAAGAAGGGAACTTCCTTGAAAAAATCTAATATAGAAGCTAGATCACTTTCTTTTGTGGACTTCTAGGACAAACGATGATGGATTAGCTTAGCTATCTCTCTTATCAAAACAAAACAAATTTATACATTGCTTACACTCAATAGCAAAAACTGAGAAACTGATAATTATAGGAAATGAATTATGTCAAGCACACTCACACACACAAAATAAGAATCTGACAAAGACAAAATCCCCATGAAATTATGCAAAACACATTCAGAAAAGTTATCACGGCAGACATATTCTAAATCTACGTCTAGAAAACCAGGTTCATGTTGTAGTTAAACGTTTGTAGTATATGTCTCTGGTTCCACATTCAGCTCAGAGGAACCTGGCCTATTTGTCTATTTGCTACATTCAACTCAGAGCAGCCTGGCCTTACTGGCCTATTTCTTGAAAGGCAGCTTTAAACAGAAATCAGTGAATATGAATTTATACAAAAATGACTGAGATTTGAATATCTTAATTGCTTATTTAACCAATGTATTTCATTTAATCTTAGGAGCAGTTTAATTATGATGGATAGAAAAATATAAAATATAGAAAAATATATATATACAAATAATGATGTGGAAGTAGATCACTAATAATTTAGATATTACTTAGCAATCATTATAAAAGGGGGTTGTTGAATATTGCAATACCTTATAGTACCAGTCTTGAAATTTTCTGCAACACTCTTCACTACAGAAATCTCTTACTACTCCATCAAGTTCCTTAGATGCTCCCTTTTTACAGAGTTGAGAACAATAATTGCAAGTAACACAGCGTAATCCTAACCGTCTTGCAAAATCTTGTTTATATAGCAGCTTGCAACCTGGAAAAAAGGAAGCAGCATAGACGATTTGCTGAAACCATGTGCTACTGCAGACCTGTTTCTCAGTATGAATTTTTACACTTTACACTGTACAGTTTTTACATTTTTGTTACACAGCTCTACAAGGTTCTCTTGCAAAGTGGTGATAACATTTTTGAGAAAGAAATTTAGCTGTTCTCCAGGTCAATAATAATTTTGGTTCATTATAAAGGGTTTATTCATGTAATTCAGAGGTTACAAATTGCTTTTAATTATATATTCACTCATATCCAGGTAAAAAGTAAAGTGTTGTGGAGACTTCCAGTCATATATTTATTTTGGACCCAAAAATAAAAAGCTATTCAGCTCTAAATGAACACCAGTGTTAACAAATCCTAGCACTGTTACTACAAGAAACAAAATAGTATTTTTCATGTACAAATTCTAATGTTTCCAATTTGAGGTGCATGTCAGACTTTTTTTACTTTTTTGCTTGGTGATATAGGAAAAGAGGGAAAACACCCCCACACAACTGGAATTGGAAAGGTGTTCAAGATTATTGTTTCATTTTATAGGTGACCAGTTACAGATTTAAATCAGGATTTTCTAAGTAATATATAGCTCATATAATATGAAATAATACTATTTTATCACCTTATATTCCTGCATTACAATGCAATGGACAGAAACAAGATTTCCTCCAGCTGTGGTCTAAAGAATTTGAATACATTTTCAAATCCTAAAATGAAATTTTAAAGGGACAACCAATTATTTCCCCAACAAATGCCTGTTATTATTGCTGCTGTGCTTCCTAAATAAGAAAAGGTCTCTGTTATACAGCGTGAGGCAAGATACTCAACTGCAATAATTTCCACCATTTTCCAAGTGATCATTATTAATGACTATGTCAGGGATTATAAAATAAAAAACAGTTATTTATTTATTTATTAGACATATATGCTATCTATCAGTTCAGAAAGAACATTCAAAGGGACTTACGGTTAAAATAACATGTACAGATGAAAATATGAATTAAGCATTAAGGATATGGAAAAATAAAAAAACAGAAAGAATATTTATTCAAATTTGTATCACTCTTTTCAAGATTATACTTCTCTCATAGTAACTGTCAAGCAAAAAATAAATTGCAAATAAAAATAAATAAATATTTTTGCAGATTATTTGAAAACCAACCAACAAATTTCTAGGATTTTTTTAACAGAACAATCACTGACTTATTTTAAATTAAAATACAGCCCCAAATCCAACAAAAAACAGAAGTAATGGGCAGCAACCATGTGAGTGCTGCAAATTATGTGCAAAATCTGATGTTTCAAGAATGCAAACTTCTATTTCTCCTTCGGACCATACCAATACAACTGTTCCAAGGCCGGGGGGGGGGAGTCCCTTTGATTTCCCTTAAGTTAAGCTTCCCAACTGAAAGCAATCTGTGGTATTTTAGACATGCTCTGGTCCCATTTCATTCACTTCAAACTTAGAAGATTAACTTCCAAAAAACTGTTGGAAGGCCATAGTTCAGAGGAGAAATTGAATATTTTGGTGTCCTGCAAAATGATGTTTCTGCAATAATGGGTTTTGCACAATGCTGCCTATACTGTAAATTCTCTTAGTATGAAAATAATTGTTTTGTCTGATGGTTTTCAAAAAATGTTTAGTAATTCTAAGGTATTAGAAACCATTTTTTACCAAAAATGTATTTCTTACAGAGGAACAAATACTCTTGCATGGGTCTTATAATCAAGCGTAAATGCTTAAACCAAATCACTACATTCAACAGAAAGACAAAACCGGACTCTAAATATTAAACCGCTGGTGCTATGCAACTGGCTACTCGAAAACAAGGAACACAAAAACCTCAAAAGCACAATCTGTGCTACAAATTTGGAACAGAGAATCCAGGTAGAGATACCATAAATTAATTAAAGAGACTTTTAGTACCGCAACAGACCCTAACTGTTCTCTTTTAAATAAAAAAAGATCTTTGTGTTACCTAATGCGGACTGAATGACTAGGTTTTATGCTATGTGCATCCCAAGAAAAGGAGGAATAAGTGAAAATTAAATTATTTGACTTTTTTGATATCATTAATATCCAGTTCTTTGGAGAGAGAGACATTTAAAAAATAATACATTTTTAGTTTTGGTGAAAATGAAAATGAACAAATTATCCCTACAATAACCTATAAGTGCATAAAGTATTTGTTTCAGGACAACTTTAGATACACACAATAAAGCACCCACATTTCCAAAAAGCAATAGCAGAATTCTGGAATCAGCCAGTTTAGGAGAACAGAAGTCAGAACATAAATATGCCGCCCTCAGTTCATTCAGAAATAAATTAAATAACTTGGGAGCAAGTCTACAATCTCAGCAAACACTTTAGAGGCAGGGATCAATTTAAGCTGCTTTCCTGACTTCTTCAGAAACAACCAGAAAACCTAGAGCAAACTTTTGTGAACAGAGGAAAGATAGATGGCAGCTTGAGATGGAATCAAAAGCAGTCTTCAAATCAACATAGCTAATATTACTGAAAGTGTTTTCAGCTACCCCTTCTGAATCCTACTTGTTCACCTCAATATTCTTTCAACCTCAAAGAGATACGCTTTTTGTTTAAGCAACTGGCAAAAATTTACCCATTACTGGTGACAGATATAGGGCTCATCCCTATCGCTTTTAAACAAACCATATTGTTAGCTTAGTTTATTGTTATAGTCAAAAAATCAACATACAGAATATGGAATGAAAACACAGATTAATAACCTAGGATCTAAAACAAGAGTCGAAAGGAACACAAACCTTGCAAAAAGTTGGGTACCTAATATGAGAGGCAAGTGATGCCGTAACATTTTGCTATGCTGATGGAGATGCCCAACCTTTGGTCTGACAGGAGATAAGAAAAAAAGGATTTTAGACTTTCTGCCTGGAAATCATAATTTGCCTGGTTTTCTTTATTTGAATCAAACAGCCAAGAGAAGGGCCCATTTTTTTATTGGGAAATTTTGATTTCCCAAACCAGACATATTGCCCAGTATACCAGTGACTATGGATCAGAATAATTTTGTACCATTATTTATATAAGTATTAAGCAAAACACTATTGTTTCTACACAACCTGTCTTATTTCATACTACCACCTATGAGGAAGTACTTGATAGTTAGCCTTTTTATATTGCTGATACACTATTCATAACTGTTTTTTAACAGACAAGCAATTTATCAAACTGGACTGTTACCCTAGATTTAGAGTTCCTTGGCACTTGTTCTGCCGTAATAAAAATCTTCTACAGAGTTGTGATCAAATAAGAATATTTGCTTAAAGCAGCTGTTACACTGAGGATGTCAAAAAGTCCTTCCCTCCAATACTGCTGCCTCAAGAAAAGTTAAAAAAAAAAAAAAGCACCCTTGATATTTAGATTTTCAGTTGAGCTTGATCTGTTGGAATCAATAATACAGCATCATTGTTGAACTGATGTTTACCACAAAGATGCAGCCTGACAGTTACTAAGAATGTAAGGCTCTCACGCATGTTTCCAATATGAAAACTATTAATAAACTGAAAAATTAGAAACTTATACAGAGTTTCCTGCTTACATTCCTGCTACCCCCATGTTCTGAAATATAAGTAAATTCCCTGCAATTACAAAGTTGTGTTACATTTCTATGAAGAATGTTTACAGTTAAATTACTAGCTGCAGCTCCAACTTTAGCTGTATAACCCTCATTCCCACTATCAAAAGCAGGACAGAAAGAAGTGAGAACTAAATTATTAAATATATATTCTTTGACAATCAGTCTTTGAAGCCAATCCAAGAATCTATTTCTTTTCTCCAGATATTAAGCCCATAGACTAATAATGCTAATATTAACAAGATCCAAGAGAAAGTTTCTAATCTGGAGGATCAATTAAAAGCAGAGGAAATGATGATGTTTGCTAATCACAGTGTAATGAATCATTACAAAAACATTAACTTTCTGAAATCTGTTAAATAAAAAAAATTGTGCATGACTGATATTGAAAACATTCCTTTTTAAACTCATTTAATAGTTTATCTAAATACATAATTTATTTAACATACTTGTTTTATAAGGTCCATTATAATAAATCTGAAAAAGCAATATGCTTACAAATAGCCAACTGGCCAAAATATTCAAATATGGGCACTAGCAGAATCTTCTTTTTTCCTTTTCTGGAAACAGTCTTTTTTACAATATAGAAGTAGCCAAATCCTATATTTCTAATAAATCAGGTCTCTTGGAGTGTTACGTCATTGAGTTTCTTTAGGAAACCTAAAACTTCAGAAACCACCAGTTTAGAAATTTACCCAATTCCAGCCTATGAGATAATTCTAAGTCAAAAATCAATTAAAACAGATTGTTCTGAACTACTCCTAGCTAACACAGTGGGATATGAATGCAGACATTTTGAGGAATTGCTTATTCAATTGAAAATTTGTCATTCAATCCACTCAATCTATTTCATTTCCCAATTACAAGAGCTCAATGTTTTAAAAGGACACAGTTGCCTTAACAGGTATTTCCTGAAGTTGCTTTTGGATAGTCTCTAGCAGCCTAGGTCATTGTTTCCTGGACTTCACTGGCCACGCATCATTTGGGGACTTCAAATACATTGACGAGAACACATACATTCTAGTTCAAAGAAAGGAGGATTTTATATGAAAAATGTGATTAGAACATTTTAATAATAACATATTACCTATTAAATATTAGGAGTAAAGCTGGAAAGTTAGATATTCATGTCTGCTGCAGCATCGAGTCAGTTTCTGTACTTGCTTTTTATTTTATGTAAGTTTGAAAATACTGTTTCATGTAAGTATATTGAACAAAAAGCAAGAAGCATTTGACCTACATGTTTCACCACATTTGGATATTCTTGAATTAAATTGCTCTAAAACTCATTTACAGGAAGCTTCTTAAAATTTTATTTCAGTTGAGACTCAGGAATTAGACTTATATTCATGGGCCTCTACACTGATTGCTTTCACTATAATAATAAAACAGTAATTTATTAAATGTATATGCCACCTGATTCCCAGTGACTCTGGGTGGTTATAATTGTTTATAATGATAAACAATGGCACTGTAACCCATAATGAGACAAGAAGCTACTTTAGAACTTCCTGTCCCACTATGGCCCTGTGCATGTGGGTGCAGGACATGCTCCAGTATGCTGTCTGCTTGCCTATAATGGTGACTGCATTCAAAATTTAGTAAGAACTAAATACAGATTAGGCAGTCTCTTCATTATGGGTACATATGTCTAAACAGTTGACAAACACTGAGTTAAATAGAGTAAAAGGTACTCCATCCCTTACACATGAACTGGACCCCAGACACTTATTTGCTACTCAGTATCGCTGGATACCTCTGATTATGGGGACCTGAGACAGTTTCTATTTTAAATAATCCGTTGTGTCATTATTAATTTTTGGTTTTATTGTATATTGGGTTTTGTGTTTTATTGTTGTATACTGACATGAGCTGCATGATTCAGCAATATATGAATTGAATGAATAAATTTGCACAACTCATTTTTTTTGTTTCCTTATTACATTTGTAATACTGGCAACTATATACTCCACGTACCTTCACTACAGAATGGTCTCTTGATACCAGAAAATTTCACCGTTTCATGCAAAGTCTTCTCCTCTTGGCAGTATTCACAGTACGTTACTATACAATGTAGCTTCTTATAGTCATCAGAACAAATTCTACTGCAAAACTGGTACACTTTGTTCTAGTTCAAGAAACAGAAATATCATAGAAGACAATTTGGTAAGTAACACAGCTTCAAATGTATCACAGATTTCACAAAAAGAAAGAGCAAAATTGTAGAGAATAAGAAAGATGACTTTGACAGAGATAGGCAAGATCGTTACCACAATAAGATTTGCAAGACTGATGTCAACCCCACCAGGTAGACCAAACCAGGAATCAACTCCACAGGAAGGCTAAAATTACTTTTACTGAGAGTTGTTATAATAACAGAACTTTGCAAGTCTGATTGTGCTGTATCCCCTCTCTTTCTTATACCTTTGTGAACTAGGGAGGTGTCTGTCTGAGCTGCTTCCGCATACTTTCTGCTTGTTTTGGATTTAAGATACCGTATTTATTGGCCTATAACACGCACAGGCGTACAACACGCACCTCAATTTTAAGAAGGAAGTTTGAGTAAAAAAACTTAAATTTAAAATAAATGACTTGGAAGCAAAATAAAGGGAGCTCTGAACTTTTTATTAATATTTATACCACTTATAAAGTAAATACGTAATATGAAAGAAAAAGCACCTCTTTGAACGAAGAAAACTGGCGCTCCCCATCGCTCGCATGAGCGCCTGAGCTCCACAGAGCAGGAGGTGAGCAGCGGGCGAGCGAGTGAAAACCGGCGCTCCACAGTGCTCACGCAACAGAAAACTGGTGCTCCCCAGCACTTGTGCGAGGGAAAACCGTGCTCCCCATCTCACGCAAGCAAAAACTGGCATGTTTTTGCTTGCACAAGATGGGGAGCGTCGGTTTTCACTCACATGAGCACTGGAGAGCACTGGTTTTTGCTTGCGCGAGCGCTGGGGAACACTGGTTTTTGCTTGCTCGCCCG